TCCCTTGGGCATAGTCTCAGAATCCCCCAGATTCCACCTGGGCTGAGCTTTCTCCTCTCTGCTAGGTCAAGGAGGCTGAGCTGTGCCCCCATGAAAGTCAGTTTTCCCAATCCAGAGTCTCGGGCTCCATGTTGGAGGCTGGTGTTGGGAACATAAACCACACCCTTCATAGTTGCTGACTGCTGCTCCTCTTCAGGGGACATGGGGTCCAGGGTTCCTTGGCAGGCATCCACCTTCCTGCCCCGTGTCTTGGATTCGGCCTGGTCTTCTTCCCTTAACCTCCTGCTCTCTCACAAAGCTAGTACTTGTCTGTTGCTAGTCACTCCCTGCCCCAGCGTGAACCTCCTGAGGGACAGACTGGCAGATGCCTGAGTCCAGCCAAGCCTGGCACAGGTAGATGCTTAGAAAACATGTGTTACAGTATTAACCATGGGTGCTCAGGAGACAAAGGAGGAGGGAGAGAGAGAGAGAGAGAGAGAGAGAGAGAGAGAGAGAGAGAGAGAGAGAGAGACTGTGAAAGACCGGAAGAGGAAGGAGGACCCCTGCTGGGGATGATGGAGATGGCACACTTTTCTGGAGGAAGCACTGGCAGAGCCTTGGTGCAGAAGGTTTTGCCTGGTGAAGCTGCTGCATTCAGCCTGCTACACCACACAAGCAAAGGGTGGAGTGTGGGAATGAGTAGCCTTTGGGACCAGCTACTGGCCTGTTTGCCCGGTGTTCAACTAGGGTCTCCCTGTAGGTGCTGTCTGTCTCACAACCATGGCTTCTTCCTCCTGGAAGTTCATTAGTGCTCCCCTAAGAAGGACTACACCATTGGAGCATCACCTGTAGTCACAGCCATGAGGGTGAGGTCTGGGAAAGAGGAGAGGGGTCCTCCCCACCTCTGGCTCATAAGCTGCCTCGATTCTCCCTTCTTGTGTTTAGGGGCTGACATTGCAGTTAGAGGCTTAGGCTTGGTTTGGTGCTCCACTCCCATGACATGCACCATTTATGAAGTGCCAACTGTATGCCAGGCAATATAATGTATGCTTCGTACCCCACTTTAACATAGAGACACCCCTGGCAAGCTAACAAGAAGGTATGAATTAACCCACTGGACAGCCACAGAGCAAAGGCATAGAAAACGGAATTCAGGTCACCTTGGGGGGATGTGAGCCCCATTCTGTTTTGTTTTGCTTTTTAAGGTTGTTTTTTTTTTAAAGTATGTATATACATGCATGTCTGTGTATATGTGCACACGAATACAGATGCCTGAGGAGTCCAGAATAGGGTAGGCATTGGCTCTCCTGGAGCTGGAGTCAGTCAGTTGTGAGCTGCCCATTGTGGGCACTGGGAACTGAACCAGAGTTCTCTGCAAGACTATTGGTGTGGTTAACTGAAAAACCATCTCTCTAGCCATTTTTTGAGACAGAGACTCAAGTAGCCCAGGCTGTCATTGACCTCTGTGTAGCCCAGGATGTCCTTGAACCCCTGAGCCTCCTGCCTCCATGTCCCAAGTGCTGGGATTATAGGCAAGTGCCACCATGCCCAGTAACTGTCCTTATCTCCTAGTGTCACTGCACTTTGTGGATGGAATCATGTGTGACTTTATGACTTGGCAGACCCAACAGCCAACCAGCAATCCTCTCAAAAGAAGTTTCTCAGCAGACTCCATGCCACAGGGTCCCCCAGGAGTCTCTGAGACAGAAGACCCTGTGTTGTGGTGGTATTTACAGATATCTAAGGCATCTTTGGGTCTTAGTGTAAAGTACGCTTCAGTTAGACATGGTGGCACACACCTGTAATCCCTGCTTGGTCTACATAGCAAATGCCAGGCCAGGCTGGGCTATATAAGAAGACCCTGTTCCCACAACTGTCCAAGACAGAAAGGACTGAAAGAGGGAAAGATGACACATGACAGACAGGTGGAAGGAGGGAGGCCAAGACAGAGAGAAAGAAAGAAAGAAAGAAAGAAAGAAAGAAAGAAAGAAAGAAAGAAAGGAAAGAAGAATCACCAGGTCCATCCAGTAGAATGTTACCTGTGGGACAGAGCAGGGTGGTGTCCTGTGGATGGAAAGATGACTCAGCTCAGTCCCTCTGTCCAGGTCATGACCAGGATGGAAAGCCCCTGCTGCTGGGCCATTGCAAAACAAGGGAGCAGTGCCGTTCTGACAGCTAAAGCCAGTGTTTGTGACAGCTTCATGACAACAAGTCACGCAAACATCTGTGAAATAGGAGCCAGAGACCAAGCTTATCTGCTCCGACTGCATCAGAACAGCTGGAGGCTCCAGTGCCCTCCCACCCCAGCCTCTCTGTGGGTAGCCATGCCCTGCCCAGACAGCAAGAAAACATTCCTGTCCCTTCTGCAGGTCTTGGGTGGGAATTTAAAGCCTCGAATTCATGGTTTCTTCCTATAAGCTCTCCTGTCCCATAGTTTTTATTTCACTAAAATGCTCTGTTGCACCAATTACTTGGCCATCCAAGGACTACGTGCTTGAATGGGGGTATGCATACGAAACAATGAGGTCACTGCTTGAGCCCTGCAGGCTGTGGGAAACCCCTTTATCACTGAAATCCAGTCATAAATGCATTTTAATCAAGAAAAGAAACCAATCCTAGATAATCCTGAAGCAAGCCAGAAAGCCTTCCTTTGGGTTCTGTTCCTCGGAAACTACAGCTAGTAACAGATTCAGAGGCAGGACACCACTCTACAATGATATACTGATGTGGGGATCTGGCTGGCTTCCCATGGTATGGGAGGGAGGCCGTTTCCCTTGTGCCTGATGCTGTCTCTGGAAGTTAGCAGGGCAGACAGTCGGGAAGGGAGGACTGTTGCAAAGCGGATGGAGAGGTCGGATTGGAAGCCGGGAGGGTGAGGGTGAGGTGTCCACAGGGTAGACTGAGTCTCAGAGTCCTCAGCCCAGCTTGCTGTGTCACATCCTTCAGAAGCCCCCTCCCCCCACTGAGTTAAAAACAACCTGGGCCCAGTGCAGATGGAGAGACCCGGCAGGTTCCCACCTGCCGGATGAGCCAGCCTGTGACAGTAGGTCTGAGCCATGAGTAAATCTGACTTCGTGCTGGGCTCAGACCTTGTAGGTGCAAAGAGAGAATGTCTGCAGCTTCCCTTCTGCTTTGCAGACAGGGTACACAAAAAACACCCCCTCTCCTTCCCTTGCAAGCCCAGTGCTCTGTGGGGAAAGGAACTCTGGGAAACACAGCTTGGGCTCAGCCTGAGAGAAACAGAATGAGTCTTCCTCCAGACTTGTTGCAAGACCTGGCCCTTGCTCCCAGCTTCTGAAGTGGTTGGTGGATACCATCTGCTCCAGCTTGAGCATAGGCAGCTGGCTGCCTCCTTCCTACCTGCCTTCCTCAGAACCTCTGTGGCCTCGGGCAAAGCACTCTACTTCCCTGAACTTCCGGTGGCACTCTTACTGTGAGATGAGAACATCTGCCTGCCATGTGGGTGCTCCGGGCTAGGCAGCCTCCTGCATGGTGACACTCAATGCACTAGCCTGTTCAGCTTTGCCCTCCCTGCTCAGCTACCACAAGGAGACTTCCTCTTTATCTCCTTTCCAGTCTGGAGACAGCTATGAGCGTGTGAACACACACACACACACACACACACACACTCATATACATGCACCACACACACATACATGCTTTCCCCCCCCCACATACACACATAAGTATGCTCGCACTGACATCTGTATGTTCACATATTTGGCCCATGTCGGCCCATATTTGGCTCCATTTGGAGTCCAAAGCACAATTTCAGATGCTGGCACCGGTCCTGCAGTCCCAGAGGCCTAATGAGTGTGATTCCACATTCCCCGATGGCTTTTACCTGAAATTTCAGGGAGATGACTTCTCTTGATGGGGTTTCTGCTTAGGAGTCCCCAGATCAAACAAGAGGAGGTTTCTTCACAGGTTTGGGGGTTCACTCAGCTCTCGGCTTCCTCAGAGCTGTTCACAGCAGTGAAGGTGGGCCCAAGGTGGCAACTGCCATGTGTGGCTTCACAGGAGCAGCAGGAATCCTGGAGCCCTGCCAGACGAACCACCCAGGGGACAATTCAAAGAGACATTTAGAACAGAGAAAAAAGTGGCTGGCTCTTGGTCTGAGTACAGGGGCATCTCTTGGGAAGCCCTTAGTACGGGGGTAGTCACTGAATTGTGATTTCCTCACTGGAGTGGAGTTGAGGACAGTGTGTGACTATGGGCAAAGTGAGGCCTTTGAGTCACATCCCCGGGTCTGATTCTGGGATCAGTCTCCACCCTCTCCTGACCCTAGTGGATAAACAGAGGTCCCTCATGGTCCCATCCAGCCCAAAGCCTCCATGCTGTGTTACTGTTTTTCTAATTACACAGCATCCCTGGCCTGACTGAGCATCTTTGAATACAAGGGCTCAGAGCCAGGAAGCCCAGAGAGAAGAAGCTGACTGCTTGCCCTTCAGCAGAACTTAGCAGCAGCATGACACCCAGCCTGCCACCTGACCCTGACAGGAGAAGCAGGGTCCAGGTCTCTTCGTGCCATCAAAACAAACACCAAGCAACAGAGGGACACTTCTGAGTTCCCACAAACCCACTTAAGGCTGAACTTGGAAAATGGCTCTGATTCTGAAAAAAATAATGTGTATAGGTCTATGTGTTTGTGCCAATGCCCATGTGAGTGTGTGTGTGTGTGTGTGTGTGTGTGTGTGTGTGCATAACAACTTCAGTTGTCATTCCCATGGCTGGCTACTGAGCTCCAGGAATCTGACTCTCTCCCCTCCCCACTACTGAGATTACAAACACGCACACACCGTGCCCAGCATTTGTTTGTTTGTTTGTTTGTTTTTATTAAGGAGTCCTGGTGATCCATTCCGGGTCTTCATGCTTGCTTGAAGCTGGCTCTTTACCCACTGAGCCATCTCTCCCAGTCCCCTGGATTTTGAAATGTTCATGTGTGAAATCAGCATGTGAGGCCCTCTCTGGTATTGTTTAAATATAGTCGCTAGCATATGCCAAAAGGTGTGAATCCAGAGTGGTCTCATATAATTGACTTTATTTAGAAAATGTTCGAACACTGGAGTTCTCTGAATAGAGACCTCATGTGTGCTGCACAGATTTTGGAGATGTGAGTGAAGAGACCCCCCTTTGGGGTTGAGCGAATCTCTTCTTCCTGTCATATTGGTATGAGAAAGCTCTATCTTTCACAAGGCGATAGATGACTTGGGATTTTCAGTGCCCTTAACTTGTTGAAAACTAAACAGGCAGCCCCTCTGCCATTAAGCTGTACTTCCAGCCCCTTGAGTCTTATTTAAAACATTTATTCCCACCCAGTGACACCTCAGGAACCCTGCAGCCCTGTATCTGCACCAGGGGAGCACTAGGAGCCTCATTTTAATTAGTTAATTGGTTCCCTTTGAGACACACTCTGTTGTAGTCTAGGCTAACCTCGAACTTTCTGTGGAGCAGAGGCTGACCTTGAACCCCTGACTCTCCTGCCTCCTCCACCCCGCAGGCACTGTGATGAGGGGTGGGCACTAACAGTGCTCCTGGAAGGAGTCTCATTTTATATGCTGAGGAAAGTCAGAGCAGTTCAGACTATCCAGAGGTTCAAGAGCACACAGCCACAGAAGCCAGGGCTGGGGGCTGGATGCTGCCCTCTCTAGCCAGGGGACCAAGGGGGCACAAGACCGTGTCTCAACTTCCTCTAGAAAAAGCGTGAGCCCCAGTTCTGGCTTGAAGGATGCCAAGGTTTAAGAAGATGAACTCAGACGAAACATGAAAGACATCTAAGAAGGCTCCCACCTGTTCCCACCTCCATCCCTGAGGGCATACAGGTGCCTTGGGTGTAAGAAAGGCTTAGGCAATCCTACCCCAGCCCCCATCAGAGGAAATGCTGGGGGTGTTTACTAGCCTTGAGAATTGGTTTTATTTAATATCTACATAGCAGATTTATAGAGTTAATTTGCCTTCTACTCCAGTAAAAGGTCTCTTGAGGGTGATAATGACAGTTCAGTTCCAGAAATCGAAAGAAAAGTCAACACGGCATTGGCCTGGAGCTGGGGGAACTCCTGGGCCCAGAGCCAACTTGACAAGTGCAGGTTCAGCCATCCTGGGAGTTTGCCAAACTTGGATCAGAGTACCTCTCTAGGACTGTGGAGGACAGAGTGTAGCCCTGAGGGCTCTAGGGCGTGGATCAGGAATACAGCAGGGGGCCCTCCAGTGTAGGAGGGCCCACACAGAACATTAGCAGAGGAAGTTGGGGTAAAACTGGTAATAAGGATTGTAGCTCCAGAGGTTTCTCCTCAGGCAGTAGACCAGCTTCCGATCACAGGCACACAGCCTCGTCTGACAGAAGGACCCGTAGCCTACAAAAGGGACATCAAGTGCCAAATGAGCATGGAAAAATTGTGCCCCACAAACTCTGCCTTGTTCAAAGTCACACCTGAGGGTGGCTTCTAGTCTGCATAGACCCCCATCTGTCCTGCTCTGGGGGAATCTCATAGTGTGTGGAGGAGGACTCTGTGCCACGGTGACACATAATCTGATGGGAGAGCTTCAGGTCCTAAGCTGAGGAGATGTGAGATCTGGTGAAAGAGGCTTGGCTGCCAAACTAGAGTCCAAGATCTTGATCAGGACGAGGTTTCCGTTCAGGGAGTGCCGGGTCTGATGGAGCAGACACATCCCCTTTGGGTGGAGTGGCTAGCTTAAGGGTGGAGATGGTTTCTGTGAGGGCATTAAATAGAGCTGTACTGGGGCCAGGCTTTGAACTCGGGGCCCTGGGCATGAGTCCCTCTTGCTGCACACTGGCAAACCTTTAATGACCTTCCATTACATATGTGAAATAAGGGAGATGAAGCCTACACCATCCAGGGAAAGGAAATCTGCAAGCCCACAGTACCTACTGAACAGTGGCTCTAAACCGGGCCCAGCCTTCCCTGGAAACCCAAAAAGGCTACAACAGCCCAGGTCCCTCACCCACACTCTGCCTCACAAGATACAGGCTGGCACATCTCTTGAGTAGCACAACTCCCAGCCTGAATGGGAAGTCACCCTTACCGCAGACAACCATGCCCTGTGTGAATCTGTAGTCGTAGGACTGGGTCCGGATGCCACAGTCTTTCTCCTCCAGCTCCCCATAACAGCGGTCATGCATCCAACAGCACCTGTCAATGTGAGAGATGGGGATGCTGAGTGGAGAGGTACCCTCTTGACCTCTGAACCCGCACCCAAGAGAGATCCCAAGGTGAGAGACAGTTCAGGTCAAATCTAAACAAAAATCAGAGCTAGAGGTGCCAGGGGGTGGGGGTGTCAGTGTGCTTGACTTTGGCCGTCTAAGCTAAGTTGTCTCTGAAGGACTTTTGAAGCCCCAGCCCCTACCAGAGGGTCTCTCTTTGTCCTACATGCACCCCTGCTTTACGAAGCTTGCCTGAGAGCACAGATGCCTGACACTAAGTTTGACTTTCTCTAAGACTGCGACAGTTTAGACAAGATGCTCCACATAGAAGGCTTGCCTAGAAACAGCACCTCCACCAATGAGCCGATGCCAGCTCTCGCCTCTGGTCTCCACAACCAATGAGCTTGGTATCTAAGCAGCTTATGTAAAAGTTCTGGCTCTCCTGCTAATTAAAACTTCCCCTTACCTTACCCTCCCTGAACAGATCCATGGTTTTTACAGTGTGCATATTCTCATTGCCGGGTACCACAGCTCCCAAATCAATAGCTACTCTTTGGAGAGTCCCTGGGAATGCTATTTAGGCTGACACCCCTAGCAGGTGTGCAACTAAGACCATGCTCCTCTGGCAGACGTCGTGGCAGTGGGTGTGAGCTGGCAGGGATGGTGTCTGTCAAAGTGAGAGACGGGGGTTCTGAGTTTCAGAGAGGCACCCTCTTGACCTCCATACCCTGGAGAGATTCCAAGGTGAGAATTCAAGTCTAGAACCGCCACGGATCCAAAGTTCGTTGACCTGTTTTTGCCTTGTAATAGCTAGATGGAGTGTAGGTGTGGTGGTTTGAATGAAAACGGCCCCCATGGGCTCATAGGGACTGACACTATTAGGAGCTGCGTTCTTGTTGGAGTAGGTATGGCCTTGGTGGAAGTTTCAAATGCTCAAGCCAGGCCCAGTGTCATCCCCTGTCTGCTCCCTGCCCATCCAGAGGCAAAACTCTCATAAACCTCTCCAACACCATGTCTGCCTGCTGCCATGCTTCCTGTCATGACAATAAGGGACTAAACCTCTGGCCTGTAAGCCCAAATTAAATATTTTCCTTTATTAGAGTTGGCATGGTCATGGTGTCTCTTCACAGCAATAAAACCCTAACTATGACAGAAGTGGGTACCAACGGCTGTATTGCTGTGGTAGGCTGAACCATGCTTTTGTCTGGAAGAATTTGGGACTTTGGACTAGAAATGTGACTGGACACTTTAAGCGGGGTTTAATGGGCCACACTAGTAGGAGCATATAAGACAGTGGTGCTGAGGGAGGTTTGAACTCTGAGGGCCTGGCTTAAGAGGTTTCAGAGGAAAAGAATATTAATTTGTGGGCGGGGCGTTGGTGGCACACGCCTTTAATCCCAGCACTATGGAGGGAAGCATAGTGGTGGATCCACAGAGGTGGATCTCTGTGAGTTCAAAGCCATCCTGGTTTACTGAACTGGGAGGCAGAGATAGGTGGATTTCAGAGTTCAAGGCCAGGCTGGTCTACAGATCCAGTTTCAAAACTTCCAAGCATGGGCAGTGACAGAGACCATCAAAAACAGAAAACGAGTGATTCATATGCTGCATTTGTTATAATTAATGAATTGGTATAGATATATTCTAAACTAGGTAACGGATTCTGTAATTGATAATATTAATTGTAAAAAATCCATTGTTTGTTTTAATTTCCTTATCAGTTACTTTCCCTGTCACTGTCAAGCCTGACAAGAAGCAACCCGAGGGAGGCAGGGTTTGCTTTGGCCTGCAGTCTGAGACAGCCCATCACGGCAAGGAAGGCATGATGGCTGGAGCATGGTGCAGCTGTTCACATTGCATCTATAGTCAGGTAGCAGAGTGGAGTGGATTTGGCTAAGATATTTCAAGGTCCACCAAAGTGACCCTCTTCTTCCAGCTACACCTCACCTCTTCTTCCAGCTAGGCCCCACTTTAAGGCCCACCCCAAAGTATCCTAACGCATGAGCTTATGGGACATTTCCCATTTAAACTTCAGTGTGTGTGTGTGTGTGTGTGTGTGTGTGTGTGTGTGTGTGTGTGTGTGTGTTTACATGAAGGCCAGAGGGGGCTGTGTCCTGTGTCTCCATTAACCACTCTCCACCTTAGTTTTTGAGGCAGGGTCTCTCACCGGAACCCAAGGATCACTGATTCAGCTAGACTGGCTGGCCAGCAAGCCCAGGAATCTGCCTGTCTCCACCTCCTCTCACAGCAGCATCCAGCTTATTCAAGAATCCTTATGTGGACTCTGGGGGACCAAACTCAGGTCCTCATGATTGTACAGCAAGGACTTTACTGACTGAGTCATTGTTTCAGTCCCATATCTCTGAATGTCTATATAATATAACATATTAAGCTAAATAGTGAAAGGTCCAGAAACAGGGATATGGAAGTAAAAGGACCCAGTAATAGGAATATAAATGTACAGGAATGTAAATTTGTAGCATAAAAAGAAATAGGAGCTGACAGTCACCAGCCATGTCAGCAATTAGGGATTAACTTCTAACAATGGAGTTCCTTGCTTTATGACTGGCAGTTGAAGGTTAGTTATCAGATAACCCCTGGCACTTACAACCGACAACTGTTGTGAACTAGGTTAACTTTCACTGCCAAGTTGTAACTTTCGGGCTGCTTTGCTCCACATTCTTCCCTGCCTCAGAAAAAACTGCAATTGCCAAGGAACTGCAGAGTTACAGTAAACACCACTAGAAGTGCGCGGCAAAAATAAGTTAATAAAATACTAACTTAGCCAAAGACCTTGTTAATGAAAGGTGTAAAAAACAATCTGTACTTAAGTTTTGTCTTGGGATTGTAAAAATTCTTTTGCTCATGTCTAATGCTTACTTCTACCTCTAAAAGGGGATCTCAAGTCCGCCCCGATTGCCATAGTTTCAGAAGTCTGATCTCTGACTGTGGTCCCAGTTAATTGGTAAGCTTTTGGAAATTTTAAAAACCAATCCATACTTAAGTTTTGCCTTGGGATTGTAAAAATTCTTTTACCCATGCCTAATGCTTACTTCTTACTATAAAAAGGGAGTTTGCGTCCACCATGTTGCCACAGTTTCAGAAGCCTGATCTCTGGCTGTGCTCCCAGCTAACTGATAAGCTTTTTGTGCCCCATGGTGATTGTTTTTTAAATAAAGTTTGCTTCTGCTTCAGACTTTGGTGGTCTGTTCCCCCACCCTTTGTGCCTCAGACCCAACAAGAGTTTATAATGGTGTGTTCAACTACAATCCATTACCACACAGGCCATTCTAGGCTCTCCTTGCTTTTTCATAGGGTCCCCACTCCAACTTGGCCCCAAAACTCTGATGTCCCTTTGACACCATCTACCATGGCACCCACTGGCATCAGAACTGTTAACTCTGTACACTGAGTTGTCCAAAGAACAACATCTCCTGTCTCACACAGTCTTCTAGAATGGCGACACTCCCCTATCAAAAGGTGGAATCCAGACCCTCTCTCCTTTCAAGCTGACACATAGCAACTGGACATATTGATGAGCACAACATGGTACTATATACATCATCCCATTGAAATTGCTCATCTTGACTGTCAACTTGACCCCATTAATAGCTGTCTAGAAGGCTATAGAATCCCACCTTTGGATGTGTCTTAGAGAGATTCTCTAGAGATTAGATCATGTGGGCTAATGGATGGCTTTATCCACTGATGGATTCATAATATGTTAGGAGGTGGTGAAGGAACTTGGGTGCCACATATTCCCACCATTGTATCCTGCCTCAAAATGGGCCCAGAAACGTGGACCCAAGTGCCATGTGCTGAGCCCTTTGAAACTATGAGCCCAAATAGCTGATTATGCTCTGAAGCCATTTCCTCATGGTGGGAGAGGAGTAACTAAGATAACCATGGTGTTGCACAACCACCATAGGAATGCAAACCACTTACCCATTGCCTCAAACAAGCATTTCTAGGTGGCAAGACCATCAGAGATCTCTCTTGAGCTGCTCATCTCTTGAGCTGTTCACTGCACATTGACTACAGTCATAGAACATCAAAGCTTATCCCCTGCCATTGCATCTGTGTGCTCTTTGGCTAGCCTAGGTCTCTTTTTTCTTGAGCTTTTGTGGCTGGACCAATTAAGAGAGCCACATAAGCAACACTGTGGAGTTTTGGAGGTCTATGATAAAAATACTACCTTCTATTGTTATTGTTGAGACAGGGTCTTGCCATGCAGCTGAGGCTGACCTGGAACTTGCTGTATCCATCAACCTCGAACACTTGCTTCTTCTTCCTCTACCTCCCCAGGACTGGGATTGCAAGCTCATACTCCCACATCCAACAAGCCATCCTCTTTCGCCTTGTAGTTTGGGAATGTTTGTTCATAACCCCCCAACTGTCACCATGCTGTTAGAAGACCGAGACAGCCCTGCAAAGGACCCATTGAAAGGGCCTGAGGCTCCACCCTTGGACGGCAACAATCCGAGCCACAGCTGTGAGCCACCTGTGGTGTGGGTCATCCAGCCCCAGCCAGCCACTGCAAAAGGAAACCGAACAGATAGGAGCCACTCTGCAATGGCCTCCCTGGATGGCAGGTTCATGAGCAAAGTAATCAATTGTGGTTGCATTAAGTCAACATGTAAGGATCATTTCTTTTATTTCAATAAACCAAGTGACTGAGATCTTGGAGTTCTTGGGAGTTATGTGGCATGTCTTTAAAAGATGCTTAACTCCTCTGAGCCTTAGTTTTACTTATTTTAGAAGCCAGCGTAGGGGTGCACACCTTTAATCCCAGCACTAAAGACGAAGATGCAGGTGGATCTCTGTAAGTTTGAGGTCAGCCTGGTCTACACAGTGAGTTCCAAGGTAGCCGGGGCTACATAGTGATATCCTATCCAGAAAAAAATGAAATAAAAATAAATAAAATTTATTTTAGTTTCGCTCAAGCACTGGTGCCCAAAGAGGCCTAAGGCATCAATCAGATCCTCTGTAGCTGGAGTTACAGGTGATTGTGAGCTGACTACCTTGGATCCTGAGAACCGAACTCAGGTCCCCTGACAAGAGAAGTGACACTCTTAACCACTGAACATCTCTCTACTCCTGAGCCTCAGTTGTAATTCTCATCTCCTAGAATAGACATGGAATCAGAGGAGGTAACGAGGGCAGAGCCCACAGCTTTAAAGGTGGTGATGATGTCAGCTCACCAATCAGTACCATCCTTGGGGGTCCCTCCGCCGCCCCAGCCACAGTAGCAGCCATAGAAGCTATAGTTGATTATTGGATCCATCCCAGTCACTTCCTCAATCATGGACTTCAGTTCTAGCAAGCCCCCTGGCACTGCAGGCACACCTGGAAAACAGTCCAAGCCCCCAGGTGACTCTGGGCACCTGGCAGCAACCCACTTGCCACCCCTCCCACCCACTCTTATCCTCCCGGTTAATGGGAGGAGGGCCAGGCAGATGACAGCAAGTGACCTGGAATAAAAGTTTGTTAGCCAGGCAGTGGTGGTGCAGGTGGATCTCTGTGAGTTTGAGGCCAGCCTAGTCTATAGAGCTAGTTCCAGGACAGCCAGGGATACACAAGAAACCCTGTCTTGAAACACCCCACCCCCAGCAAAAAAAGAGTTTGCACTTGGGGGCTGGGGCATGTGGCTCAGTTGACAAATGATTCCTCTAGTGTACGTGAAGCCCTAGTTTTGATGACCAGCACTTTGTAAACTGGGTGTGGAGTATGCCTGTAATCCTAGCACTCACGAGGTGGATGGAGGAGATTCAGAAGTTCATCCTTACCCTTGGCTACATAGCAAGTTCAAGGCCAGCCCCAGGCTGCATGAGATGCTTTCTTAAAAAACCCAAACTTTTAAAAATTGAATTTAGAAGCAGAGTTTGGAGTCAACTCCCTTGCATTGCAAATTGGGAAACTGATGCTCTGTAAGTCTAGAAGGAAGTATCTTGCCTAGGGTTTTCAATGCAAGAAGCCAGGGGCTCTTTCCCTGCCTTGGATCTCAAGTTTCTCCTAGGATCTCCAGATAGCTGGCAAGACATCAAAGTGCAGAGTTGCCCACCAGGGGCTTGTATACGGGGCTGCAGTGAAGCCTAAAGCCAGATTATTGTACCAGGCCCCCAGACCTTAGCATGACTGACTCCATGATGGAAGTACCATTCAGGCCATAAAACACAGCAGGTACACAGCACCATCAGCCAACATGAAGACAAAGGCTCAATCCATCAAAGTCTATCCAAGTTCTGGGAAAGTCTCTAAAATGTACTACCTTGCGTCTTGGCTTCTGTAGTTCCGTTCTGGCTAACTGTTCTTGCTAACTGAAGTATGTCAACCCAGAGTAGAGTTTTTGTACTTATAAAGCTCACCCCGAGAAAGGCTCAAGGCTGTACTTCAATCACCCAGCCGGCTAGTAGACTTTCTATTGGCTTAAACCCATGTCTAAGCAGTCTTCTCTAGTGGCTGCCCCACAAGATGGGGGCCAGCCCAGACCCGCCCAGATGGGGTGGTATGCAGACGTACTAAGCCGAGAATGACTCCGGAATCAACTGGAGTCTGTCTGTCTCTGTCTGTCTGTCTGTCTGTCTGTCTATCCTTCATTGAACCAAATGTATCACTGTATTGCAAGTGCTCTGCTACTGAGCTGTCCCCCAGCCCGGACCTGGGATATTTCCTAAGGATTTTGTGTTCTATTTTGTTCTCACTGTTTGTTCTTATTCTATTTTTACTCTTCGGGGAAATATCTGCTTCCCACATCCACAAGCCCCACCTCTGCCTGCTCACACCCTGACCTAGAGTATCCAAATCCTGCCACAGCACCACGCCCACCAGCACAAAAGCAGGGGCCCAGGGAGACCAAGGCCATTGCTGATATCTTCACCTGCCCCGCAAGGGTGGAGCTGAGACTCAGACACAGGTCTCTGAACCTCAAAGGCTGGTGGCCACCTTCCTTTCCACTACCCAGTCACTCGCAGGAAGACAGGAGGGGGCTGGGGGGTCCGGGGTTCAGAGGTCGTGAAATCAACACTTACTGCAAGCCAGGAACCAAGCCAGTGTGAGGAGGCCCTTCATCTTGGGTTCTGGAAAACAAAACACATCCCATGGTGTCTTAAATCATCACTGCCAAAGCCTGTTTAGACCCCACCCGGCTCCAAACTAGGTCTGGGTGTTCCCTCCCTCATTGGGTAATCCACAGACTGCTCCAGCTGGAAAAGACAAGGCAAAGCCTCCAGGCCTGGATCCACTGAATTCCCTAGAGACAGAGGGTCATTATCGACTCTACCGGAATGTGGCAGTGACAAGTGCCCCCGATTTTGTCCCCTTGGTAGATGCGTAAATGGATATTACTGGCACAAGATCAAGGGCAGGAACTGACAGGCCTCTCGACACAGCGGGAATCGGTGGGGAGGGGGCTGCTGGTGAGGTGGCTCAGTGGGTAAAGGTGCCTGCTGCCAAGCCCGGTGACCCGAGTTTGATCCCTGGGACCTACATGTTGGAAGAAGAGAACTGATTCCCACAAGTTCTCCTCTGATCTCCAGGTACACACCTTTACACATACACACCATACACTAAATAAAATGTAAATAAAGGGAGGAGGGAGCTGGAGCACTAAGAGTGGAGGGATCCGGAGCAGGGGGGGCAGAAGGAGCTGGAGCACTGGGGACAGAGGGAGCTGGAGCACTGGGGACAGAGGGAGCTGGAGCACTGAGGGAAAGGAGAGCTGGAGCACTGAGGGAAAGGAGAGCTGGAGCACTAAGGGCAGAGGGAGCTGGAGCACTGAGGGCAGAGGGAGCTGGAGGGCAGAGGGAGCTGGGCAGAGGGAGCTGGAGCACTGAGGGCAGAGGGAGCTGGAGCACTGAGGGCAGAGGGAGCTGGAGCACTGAGGGCAGAGGGAGCTGGAGCACTGAGGGCAGAGGGAGCTGGAACACTGGGGGCAGGGGGAGCTGGCACTTGTATCTTGTTCCCATAGTTCATGGAGCTGACATCTCTGAGTTCCCGGATGCTCGTTTGAGGGCTGTAGCTGTTGGTTTGCTCACTGTTCCTGCACTGAGAAAGGTGGCTGGCCCGGCAGGTGCTCCAGAATTGAGTCCAGCACCCAGAGTGAGTCCTGGCCAGTGGGGGATTCACGATGGCTTCGTGGCCTCACTGCAGGTCTTTGATAGTCCTACATGTGTCACTGTTCCCATGTGCCAATGGGAAGATGAGGCTCAGAAACTGCCCAGAATCTGCCAGAGGCCACTCAGCGGCTGAAATAGAATCAGAATATGGTGCCTTCCTTCCTTCCTTCCTTCCTTCCTTCCTTCCTTTCTTCCTTCCCCTCTCTCTCTCTCTCTCTCTCTTTTTTTGTCAGGATCTCCTGGAGTCTAGATGGACCTTGGACTATGTAGTCAAGGTTAACTTTGGATTCCTGATCTCACTACCACCACACCTCATCTACAGACACACACCAACAACCATGGCCAGTTTATACGGTGCTGGGTGGAAGACAGGGCCTCATGCATGCTAGCCAAGAGCTCTGCAAACTGAGCTACATTTTCTCCTTGCAGGCTAGCCAGTTCCTACAGCTAGGACCAGGCTCTCCTGTGGACATGCTTTTCACATACCAGTCAAGCAAATCAAAACCTTCAACCCCAGCACCCACCACTTAACTCTCTCAGGTCAGGCCAGTCAGTGTTATCCCGATTGTCCCTAGAGGGAAGCCCAGAGCTGCTGAGGTGAATCTCACACATCCTGAGGCTACATACTGTGTTCCCTTTCTCTCCATTCAGACTCACTCACACTAGTGACAACCCCACCCAGTGTGACTCTTAGCAATGTAGCCCTCTTCTCCTCTGGACTGTAAATAGAAGACTCTTAGTAGCTATCATTTTTGTCACCTGCTGTCCTCATCCTGGATCCCATTGAGCTCCCTGGGCTGCACCATTGTGATGCAGATACAGTGGGAGTCCCTACAAAGGAGTTGAAAAGATAAGACAATTTCAAGGGAGGATCTGGCAGTAGGGCCTGGAGACAATTGTCCCTCTGAGGCCCCCAAGGGAGCCCTGAGACAAGGCTTGTCTGTTTTTATCTGATGACCATATGGGCCCAGGGACACTGCTAGATAATTTAAGAGTAAACAAAGCCTGCCATAATGAAAGGTGGGACAAGAAGGCAGACAAGAAGGAAGCATAGAGGACGATGTGGAAGCCAGGGAGCTGCCAAGGTCATGTGAGAACAGGTCCTTCAAGGTCACATGAGGGAGCCCCGAATGCCCTGGACCCCCGTTCCCATATCCTGTCTGGAAAAGAATACAATGGACAGTCAGTTTTGAGATGCAGGCACCCCGTGCTGTTTCTGGTCCCCCACAGAGGGGCAGGCCCCCACTCACCCATACTGGGCAGCTCCAAGAATGAGTCTCACCTGAGGGCCCTCTCTGTCTTCAGCTCCAGAGAACAGGCAGCAGCTGGGCCTGCTTGGTCTAAGCCTGCCTGACACCTCCCACAAGCTGCCTGGGCCACCTCCAAGATTCCTGGGAACTCAGAGAGGCCCTCTTCAAGACCCTCTGCTGTTTCCCCTCTAGATTCTTGATTCAGGCCTCAGGGCTGGGTGGCTTTCAGGAGAGAGAGATCCAGAAGGGTCTGGCTGGAGCTTTCTTCAAGCTCTGCTCAGGAGCAGCCATGGGAGCAGGGTTACTCACAACCCTGTCTTCCTTCTCTCCTTCAGCCCCAACTGTCTCTGGAGCCTGTATGCCCCCTGTGGGGACACTGCAGGATGCCACTTCCCACGTCCAGCGGGACCACCTGTTAACATGTGACTCACTCACTATTGAATCCCTTCACCCAGTTGTCTTCCATACATATCAAGACCAGCCCAAGATACCAAAACTGTGTTTCAAAAACCCCCAAATTGCCACATCCCTTCACCTCTGGTGGCTTTCTCTGGCTTTCATTTTCCTCTAAACATCCCATTTCTGGGTTGAGGCCTCCATGTCACCCGATCTTCACCCTCCTGGCTGGGATCCTGCAGTGCCCCAAGCCTGGCAGCCTGCACTTGAGGGTCATCCCTAAGTCTCCCAGGGCATTTTATCTCCTTCTGCAGGCTCCCTCTGCTGGCGCAAGTCCCACTGGTCAGCCCCCTTTCCCGATCCTCCCCTGACCCTGCTGCCCATCCCTACCCCCAGACACAGGTGGACTCTCCACCACACAAACACACTCTGACCCGCTCTCAGGAGAATCTATCCCACCCCTCTCTTGGTGGGCCATCAGCGTTCAGGGACTTGCTTTTAGACCTGAACAGGTGTTTAGAAAACAGGTGTCTAGGTGACAGGTGTCTAGGTGACAGGTATCTAGGTGACAGGTATCTAGCTGACAGATGTCTAGGTGACAGTTGTCTAGGTGACAGTTGTCTAGGTGGCAGGTTTCTATGTGACAGGTGTCTAGGTGACAGGTGTCTATGTGACAGGTGTCTAGGAAACAGGTGTCTAGCTGACAGGTGTCTAGGTGACAGGTGTCTAGGTGACAGTTGTCTAGGTGGCAGGTGTCTAGGTGACAGGTGTCTAGGTGACAGTTGTCTAGGTGGCAGGTGTCTAGGTGACAGGTGTCTAGGTGACAGTTGTCTAGGTGGCAGGTGTCTAGGTGACAGGTGTCTAGGTGACAGTTGTCTAGGTGGCAGGTGTCTAGGTGACAGGTGTCTAGGTGACAGTTGTCTAGGTGGCAGGTGTCTAGGTGACAGGTGTCTAGGTGACAGTTGTCTAGGTGGCAGGTGTCTAGGTGACAGGTGTCTAGGTGACAGTTGTCTAGGTGGCAGGTGTCTAGGTGACAGGTGTCTAGGAGACAGGTGTCTAGGTGACAGGTGCCTAGGTGACAGGTGTCTAGGTGACAGTTGTCTAGGTGGCAGGTGTCTAGGTAACAGGTGTCTAGGTGACAGGTGTCTAGGAGACAGGTGTCTAGGTGACAGGTGCCTAGGTGACAGGTGTCTAGGTGACAGTTGTCTAGGTGGCAGGTGTCTGTCTAGGTGGGTGTGGGGGCTGGGCTGAGTTTGGTAGGACTTTTGACTCAGCTAAGACAGGCTTAATGACCAAAGGACAGAATGTAGGAATGAGAAGGCACAGTGCCAGCCAGGGAAGCCAAGCTTCCAGTCACACACCTGATTCCAATCTACAGGTCCTTACCCTAGCAGGGGTTTTACCTGCTCAAGAGCATAGCCTCAAACACAAACTACAGTGAAGCTAAGGCTGTCTTCAGCAGGGGCAAAGAAAACCTGCTGAGATGGGTTGGGCTTAAGAGGGCAGGATTCCAGAGTGACCCTGTCTGATGAGGCCCAAGAATGGCTTGTCACACTAAAAGGGCCCCAGGATATCCCCACGGGATGAATTAAGCATCTCATAACATGTTTACTCTGGAGTTTTCTGCATCTAAGAGCAAGCCAAAGCAAGGATACCTGGCCACTCCTGCTCCAAGACCCCTGACTTCAACAATAACCCTGGACTTGGAATATGGTTTGTGTTCCCCAGGACAGTTCATCCAGGGACCCCTGGCAGAAAAATCTGCTTGCAGCCCTCCTCCTGCAGGACGTCTTCCAGGATTCCTGGTCACAGAAGCATGCTGGATGTCACCACATACAACTGTCCTCTTGGGCGCTTCCTGTTGGAGGGGTTCCTGCAAGTGGTGGTTCAGGAAGGAGGATGAGAATTCAGGGTTCACTGAACACTTTCGAGGTCCAAGGCCACATCGTCACCTGCAGTCCCCTCAAACCCTCCTAGAGTCTTGGGATGCACGGTGATTCCACTCTCCCGAGTAAGAGAATGGAAACCGAGGGGCAGGTATTGTGTGATAGCTTGCTGAGGTCACACAGCTGGTGAAAAAGCTTCAGAACCATGAGTCTGACCTGCAGCCCAAATACCTAGGGCTTTCCTCTCAGAAAAATGGGGAATGGAAAGTTGAGCCCCAATTTGTCATAAGAGCTCAAGATCCCAGGGGTTGTCTGTGACTGGCCTAGGATCTTTGCTTGTTCACTTTCAGCCCAGAGTTTGGAAGCTTGGGCTCTTAGAGCAAGAGTGGCCAGGCATCCTTGCTTTGGTCTAGGTGATAGCCTGTTCCTTTTAGACCCAGCAAGTTCCAGAGAGTGAAGGTATTGTGTGTTCTCCTAGAAGGGTCTGGCTTAGCACACATGGTGCTTTTTCAAAACATGTAACCAGGACAGGAAGATAGATCAGTCAGTAAATTGCTTGCAATGCAGTCAAGAGGACATGAGTTCATGCTTGTCATCCAGCTTATCCTACTGGGCAGTTCCAGACCAGTGGGAAAGCCTGTCTCAAAAGAGAAAGGGTGGACAGAACCTTGGGACCAACAGCCAATGTTGTCCTCTGGCTTCAACATATGTAAGCCCTCATGTACTCAATCACACATGAACACACCAGCATATACACACATAAACAAAAAATAAGTAGTAGGTTGCCAATGTACCAATGTTGAAATCTTACACACAACTCTAAATTCTGGCCTCTCTTAAGACACCTGGCATCCTATGTTGGCCACAGTTTCCTTTATGGTCATCTCACCAATCCTTATTGTCTTTAGCCCAACTTGACTCACAGGGGCTCACTTCTGGGGGTGTGGGGGATTCTTTAGAGATCTGTGTCAGAGTTCAAAGAGGAAAGGTCATCTCTTAGGACATCTCACAATGCAAGTGCTGAGCTCCGAACCCCATATACAGTAGTTGCTCAGTCAGTGCACAGTACAGGACATAAGGCACCCACTCCAAGAGGAAGAGGAAACACCTGTATTGAAGTCTACAGGTTGAGTTGGTCAGTAGTCAGAGCTTTTCTACCATGCTTGAAGCCCTGAGTTCAGTCCCCGGCACTGCATAAACCAGGTCTAGCAGTACATGTTGGCATTCCTAGTACCTGAGATGGAACAAGGAAGAACCAAAGTTCAAGGTCACCCTCAGCCACATATCAAGTTCTGGGTTAGGCAAGAATACCCGAAACCCTGTTTCTAAGGGCATGAACTGGGTGGAGGCCAGTTAAATTGAAGGGTATTTGAGGTAGAAGGAACCGCCTGTGCCAGACCCACAGGCAGGCACCTTCAGGGAACTGAAAATAGCTGTGGTGGATCTGGTGTTAAACGACTAACTGTAAGGGAAGAAACTGCTCCTTTAACACCTTCCAGATTCTGTGGCCAAACAGGTTCCCACAGTTGACCATCCCCTGCCATCACCACAAGGTCCCTGAACATAGAGCTGAGAAGACATGTGACCTTGACAAGTTAACTTAACTGCTGTGTGTGTGTGTGTGTGTGTGTGTGTGTGTGTGTGTGTGTGTCTTGGCTTAGCATATGGAGTAATGGGGGCCAGTGATTTTTCCCTGTTCTGAGATGACACAAACCAGGTGTTTAGGTACACAGGAAGGTGTCAATAAATGTTGGCTATTTTCTGTAGGAGGGAGGGACATACTCCCAGTCCACATATCACAGAAAATGATAACTGTCTTTAAATAATGAGTAGGTATCCTGGAAGAGATTTGGGAAGGGCAGTCCAACATACAACTGCAGCATCAGAAGGTACCTAGGAGACCAGGCAGAGAAGTCAGTCTGCTGTCCTTTGTTGTAGAATACCTTGATGGAGTCCCTAAGAAGAGACTCTGATTTTTTTTTCTAGGCTTGAAATGCACAAGGTCGGGAGGGGTGACACAGCTCAGTCATCACAGAGGTGACACCACCCCAAGCCAATTTCCATGACATCACCTGCAAAGGACACCTTGAACATGGAGACAGAAGGACAAACCCACAGGAACTCCAGAAGATCACAGACCACCCCTAGAGGGCAGGAGGGAACCAGGGCTCAGCCTTGGACTGAATAGAGTCTGGAAGAGCAGGGGACATCTGGGTCACAAGACATAGGTTAGAGGAAGTGGCTGACTGGCCTTGTGAAGGTGACTCAGAGAACCACATCTTCAAATCTCTGAAGGGCTGAGGACATCAAGACCACCATACACAGTGGGGCTCAGATGGAAGAATCAACAAAGGTTCCTCACTTTCTGGACTCGGAGTTTGGCTTAGGCCAAGACATCTCTGTGTCCTGGGAAAAGAATGAGCTGTCATGGGAGACTTTCTTGTCCCTGTAGTGTTGTGGGGTATTTGTACACTGTGTGAAGATGTGTCGCTGTGATTGGTGTAATAAAAAGCTGAATGGTCAATAGCTAGGCAGGAGGTATAGGAGGGACTTCCAGGCAGAGAGAGAGAGCGAGCTCTGGGAAGAAGAAAGGCAGAGTTGGGAGCCAGACAGGGAAAGGAAACAGGAAGAGAGGTAATGCCATGTAGCAGAACACAGATCAATATAACTGGATTAATTTACATTGTAAGCGCTAGTTGAGACCAGCCAAAGCTAAAGGTCAAGCTTTCATAATTAATAATAAGTCTCCGTGTCATTACTGGGGCGGTGGCAATCCCACAAAAGACAGTCTGACAAGAAAGTTTGCTACACTACAGGGCACTTTCTATCCATCCTTTGTCAGGAAAAGCAATAAAGAGTGGGACATGGGGATAGAGTGAGTGGGACACGCCCACTTCACCTTTCAAGCAAATGAAGTTTTGCTTTAAGGGCTAGAAACACGATGCTCTGTCAAACCAACCATTGCAACCCTTCCATGCTACTCTGTAAAATTGTCAAACAAAGACCCAGGGGTGTGGCTCAGCTGGTAGAGCACTTGTTTAGCACACACCGAGTCCCATCCCCAGCATTGCACTAATGAGATGTGGTAGTGTACACTATTGGGAAGCTCCACCCAGCCCCCCTCCTCCCATTCCAGACCCCACCCCCGAGAAAGCCGGCCTCCGACAGCTCCTCCCCCTGAGATGCTCAAGACCACGCCTATAGCCTATTTAAGATATGGTCCTGACCTGCTAAGTGGTTATCCCTCCTAGCTTTCTCCTCCCACCCCCAGACCACCTGGCAGTTTTTGTTTTTTTTTTTACTCGTTAAACTTGAACTATTAAATCTTAATTTGGCTTGGTTTGACTGGCTGTGTTGGAGGAGAGACTTAATATTGGGATACGGAGGCAGGAGGGTCTGGAGTTGATTAGCCAATATACCTCAGGTTGAAGTCCAGCTTGGGTTATAGGATACAATGTCTCAAACAAGCAAACAAACAAACAAATAGAAAGGTGTGAGAGGGAAATAAAATAAAAGCATTTTAGTAATTGCTTGTTTTGCTTTTGGCATTTTGTTGCTGTTGTTGTTGTTGTTATTCTGGTTTTTGCTTTTGTGGTCCAGACTGGCCTACTCACTGTGTAGCTCAGGCTGGTAATCCCACTGTTTGAGGCTCCTGAGCATTGGGAACACTAGCTGTGCCACAACACGAGTATTAATTAATATATTTTATTGACATTAGTATATTTTGTTATCATTTTTATTTTAAATATATGGGTTTTTTTTTTTTTTGCCTGCATGTATAGGTATATAGTGCCCACTGAGACTAGTAAGATGTCCAGTCCCTCGGAACTGGAATTACAGAGGTTGTAAGATACCACGTGGGTGTTGCGAATAAAACCCAGGTCCTCTAGAAGAGCAGCAAATGAGCAATCTCTCCAGCCTCAGGGTTGGTTTTTAAAGAAGAAAATTATGCACCAATCAGTAGCCATATGACCTGAAGGGAATGCTTCATTCCTTCTGTACCCTGGATCCCTCCTGTACCGATGACCACGCCCGGTTTAGACTAAAAGCTCGCTCAGCCTCCTGAGTAGCTGGGACTACAAGCATGACCATGCCCGGCTCCTGAGAGCCCTTTATCCTGCCCTTTACATACCTTTGACCACGCCCATGCGGGCGTGGTCATCGGTACAGGTATTGCGGTCTCTCCCTACACCCTCCCCTAATTTTTCTTCAGGCTGGAGTCCTGTTCAGTGACATGGCAAGCAATGGCAAAGCAACATCCGTGAGGTGGGACCCAGACTGGGCAGCAGGTGCCCACCAGGTCTGCTGTTCCACCAGAGGGGCACCTGGATTGCTCTAGAACCTTCGAGGCTTTCTACCCAGATTCCTTTACAGAATGCCCGCTAAAATACTTGGCAGTCGTGGTGCTCTTACTTTATTAACCTCCAGGCCTCATCTTAAAGGCCACCTCTTCCAGGATGTGTGAGAGCCAAAATTATGTTTTAAGTTTCAATTACTATGCCATTGAGATCCATGAAACAAAAATGCCTCTGATCTGCAAGTCACTTGCCCAAAGACAGATAGCTCCTGAAATGCTGGAGGCTGTTGTTTACGGGAGATAACAAGCCACATGTTTTCACTCCCCTAAACAAGTTTGTTTGACCTGTCTGCACCAGATGTGCTTGATCACATGTGGTCAGGAAGTTCACAGGCAGGAAACACATCAGGATGTATGCTTGCCCCTGATTGGCTATAGGCTGAAGGTACCTCAGGATGTAGCTTGCCCCTGATTGGCTATAGGCTGAAGGTACCTCAGGATGTAGCTTGCCCCTGATTGCTTCCCTAACGGGAAATACTGAAGCTGCTGTAAAACTTGATTGGGGGACATTTTTCTGGGAACCAGAGATGGACCTGGCCAGAGTCCATCCACCTGGATCACATTTAATTAAAGCTTGCTTCAAATTTGGTTTTAAATTGTGGTAGTGGTCTTACCCTCCATTGGTGGGATTTACAGATGCCTTCTCAGATGACCTACCTAAAGTCAGCATACTTTTTTCTTGCTGTCAAAACATTATGTGCTTGTTTGGTCTTGGCATTGCCCGAGAACCCCTTCCTTTAGAACTTGAGTATCAACAGGACAAAGGCACCTCTGTCTTCTTTACTGTATGAAGAATTTGATTGGATAAAATCTTGGAGTCTGGGGCAAACAGTGGCTCCACCCGGGTTAGAGCCCAGTGTCTCGCTGGCAGCCACTCTTACAGATACACATGGCTAGTCCTCCGTCCTGGGTAGTTCATGGCAAGTCACAGTTTGGATGGGTATAGCAGCCACCACTCAATCACTGGCTCAAGTACATCCACGTACTGTCCTAGGGAGGAATGTGTAGTCCTTCATACCCTTCCCTTTGGCTACTGCTGAAGCAATGGATCCTCTCCAGAATTTTTGCCTTTATAAGGACCCGACCAACATAACTTGCGGCCATTCTCTGGGAATCTCAGGTATGGATCTGGCCAGTGTCCATCATCCTGGCAGTATTTAAGAATGCTTGCTTCAAATTTGGCTTAAAAACTGTGGTAGTGGTCTTACTCTCGCCCAGGGAGATTAACAGAACCTCACCATGCTGTGATACCCACTCCCCCAAAATCCCTAGAGAGAGGAATTGTGTGCCTTGTTTTGACATCGCATGCCCAGTGTGGGGCAAATCCTTTCTTCTATAGGGTAGACTCTACTGTGTTGTTAAATCAAATGTTTTGTCTACCGTCGCTCCATAAAGTTTGGTTCAAAGACTTCTCCGTAAATAGTAAACTGAAGCTTAACTTGACACATAAATAAGACTTAGATACAAAAAATAGTCACCCACCCACCAAGTTATGGAGCCCACCTAGATGCCCATCAACAGAAGAATGGCAGGTATGCACAATGGAGAATTATTCAACAATAAAGGACATTACATCACCTGCAGGAAAACTGACAGACTTGGAGATTATCATGTTAAGTGAAATGAAAGGGACACCAAGATAAATGTCATGTTTTCTCTTGTATGTGAAATCTGTCTATCCATCTACCCTTTGTCCATCAGGATTCATCTATAATTATCCATATTACAGGAAAGAAGAAGGGAGGGTATTGAGACAAGATAAAGGACCTGTAGGATAGGGAAGAGAGCCACGAATGCCTAGTGGGTGGCAAATAGGGGGCAGAGTGTGATACACACTATAAAGATTTCAAAGTGAGAGCCGCCAAGATGGTTCAGTGGGTGAAGGTGCTTGCTACAAAACCTGATGACCTGAGTTCAATCCCCAGCACCCACATGATGGGAGGAATGAACTGAATAGTCTCATACATTGTCTTAAGGTTCTTAAGAATTTAAAATGGCTCATCTTATTGCAACCTGGTCAATTAGTGCCACCTTAATTAGTAAAGATCTTTCCTTAGGATTGCCAATGTTGCCATCTCTACTCATGGGCATGTGATTGATCTGTGTGAAAATTATACATGTTGCCTCCATCTTGCTCTTATTACATTGTTTTCTATTATATTTTAGAACTTGTTTCATAGCAATGTAGGAAAGAGTAAATATAATAACTCATATACCATACTTACCCTAAACAGTAGCTTAACACACACACACACACACACACACACACACACACTCACACTGTGGCTTGTGCAAATCTCCACACTCCCACAAAAGAAATAAATAAATATGTCATGATGAAATCCATCCCTTTGCACAATGAATACATGATAGTGAAAAAAGTTAAGATATTCCACAGGCTTAGTGAAAAAAGTTAAGATATTCCATAGGCTTAGTGAAAAAAGTTAAGATATTCCATAGGCAAGAAGACAGAAAAAAAATAAACACTACCTATGTGAATAATTGGGCTGAAGGTTTAGGTTTTTTGTTTGACTGGCTTTTTATTTTGTTTTTAGTAATTCAGGACTTGGGCCAGCACAAGCTACCTACTGTTTAAACCAGGTGCTCACAACACAGTGAGTTTGAACCAGTCAGGCTGTCTCTCCCTCAGTCTCCACACCACTTCCTCTCCTCTGGCCATAAATACAGCCAGCCATTGAGAGGGTGAGGCATCCTGAACTGCTTTTGGTCTGGAGTGTTGCCTGATTCCAATCACCACCACAGTGAAGGTCTGTGGCAAACTGCTAAACTAGGCTTGTCACTTTCGCCCTTAGCAATATGCCCTTTGGATCACAACACAAGGGAGGCGAGGGCCAGGAACTGGCATGCCCTTGACACACAGCACTTAAGCTCAAGTTGAACCTCAATGACTGCAATGTCAAGGCCAAATACGTTCCAGAGCAGGGGCAATCAGGGAATGGAGGAAGAGGCCTGGAGGATGCGGACAGAGGAGAAAGAGCTCCTTGTATGAGCCAGCAGTTGTGTGGCACCCTTTTCTGGATTGCTTCATTGTGCCCTAAGTAGCTGGCACACAAAAGTCAAGGGGGTGGTAACTAGATGTGGATGAGCCCTTTCCCAAAGGTAATGTTTTCTTGTGCTTTGGATTAAAAAGAAATCCAGGGGCTGAGGAGATGATTCATCCATACAATCATGCAAGCATAGAGACCTGACCTTTCTCCCCAGAACCCATGGGAAGAAAACAAAACAAAACACTGGCACAGGGTGTGTGCCTGCCATCCCAGCACCAGGGAGGCAAGGAGCTCGAAAAATGGCCAGTGTATTCAGTCAGTGAGCTGCATGTTCAGTGAGAGGCCCTGCTTCCAAACATGATTGGAGATGTGAATAAGTACGGCATCTGAGGTAAGCCTCTGGTCTCCATGTGCATGTGCATGCATACGTGCACATATGTGTGTACATATATACACATCCATATACACACACACACACCTGAACACAACCATGTACATGTACAGACATCCGAGGAAGCTGCACACGCCCTCAGGAGAATGTAAGCATTGAGCCTTAACCACCCTGCTCATAACCCTGCCTTTGTTCATTTAGAAATGACCCTCTGAGTACCCTTACTCTAGACACGATCGGCCTTGGGAACTGCCCCAGCCCTGGTCTGACAAAGACTCCAGTAAGGGATCCTGAACCCTAGTACCCTCCTCTGGCAGAAGCTGTGCCCACCCCTACCCGGGTCCCTCTTGGGTTCTTCAGACCCCACTTGCCCAGATTCTCTCTCTCCAGCCCTTTGCTCCTCCCTGTTGGAGGCTCCTCACTCCCCATACCTGACCTCTTTGGCCTGGTCTCAGCTCCTGCTCCTAGGGCCTGTCCCCATGAGCAACCTTAGTCAGGGTCTGGATCCCCAAGTTTATGGTCTGCAGCCCAAGCATTCGGGTTGACAAGCTGCTAGACAGGAGGCCCAGACTCCAAGATGCTCTTTGTGGGATGACACAGTGAACACTGGCCTGCAAGCACCCTGCTCAGCCCCCAGCAGCATTCATGACAGCAGAAAATCCAACAAAAGCAGAGACTGGCACAGCACTGGCCCTTCTGCCACAGGGCCCTGGGCACTTACCCAGTACATTCCAGCAGAGGGGTGTGGCCCAGTCCCAGGTTACCCAAGTCACAGCCTTATCCTTGTCACAAGCCTTTGCTAATCCCTTCAGTACTCACTGACCCCATGGAGCCTGCACTGGAACTTTCTTAATTACCTGAGAGGCTGCAAAGTGCCTTGACTGTCTGAAGACTTCAGTATTGTCCTGGCCAGGAGTCTGAACACAGATCCTGCAGTTGGGATGACTCCCAGGGCGGTGCAGGAGAAATCTGTGCTGCTGAAGCCACTGGAGAGGCCAGAGCATCTCTGGATGCTGGGCCTGAGCCAGGAGAGCAGAGGCAGAGAAGCACCAGTTTCAGTTTCGATTACTCCAAAATTTTTTTTCTGACTAACAAGGGAAAATCTCTGTTGGAGTCTTTGGCTGGGGCTCAGACTCACAAGGGAAAGTCATGGCTCCTGTGGAACTCAAAGTTCAATCCTGGACACTGTACACAAGCAGGCATGTCACCAAAAACATTACCCGAGTGAGTGACAGATGTGCTTAGAGCAACAGAGCGAGCAGATAGCCCCTCCTTGCCCAGCCAAGACAACAACAGGGAAAAGGAAGGAAGGAACAAATGAACAGAAATGATGGGCCATCAAGAACTCATGTCTCTCCAAATTCCATTCTGAAAAGTTTGAAATCTGCTGACAGTTATGGGATTTATCCACAAATCCTTAATTATTAATATTTTACTGCTCTCTCTCTCTTTCTCTCTCTCTCTCTCTCTCTCTCTCACACACACACACACACACACACACACACACACACACACATACACACACAATTTGAGGACAATTTGCAGAAACTTACCCTTAAATCAATCTCCATTTCTTCTCTAAAGAGAAGATGGTACTTTATATAAACAAGCAAAATTGTAACCACGGAGAATTTTAGCGTTAACACAATACTGTTATCTGGTATCCATTAACTATCTAACAATCAAAAGTTTCCTCTTGTAAGGACAGTGGCGTCCTTAAATATCACTTTTCTTTATTTTTGTCTTTGCTTTTCTCCCATGGAATTCCTACACTGGGCATTCCTAAGGTTGTGGCTAGATTGTCTCCTATAACCTGGAACTTCTTGGTCCTGTACATAACACTGGATGTTTGGAGCCTGGACATTTGTTCAGCAGACCCCCCTCCTGGACTTGTCAGTTTCCTCAAAGAACAGTGTTAAATCTTTTTTTAGTAAGACTATCACGAGGGTCGAAGTCTGGGACCTGTGTGTTTTCAACCTTGTTAGTGATCTCTGTCTCAGGTTATTTCTCCTCACTGTGGTAAAATACCCAACAGACCCAGCTTATGGGGAGAAGTTTAGCCCATGGTGGAGGGAGAGGCATGGCCGAGCAGCTTCATGGTCCCTGAAGTACATCACAACAGCTTCCTAGGTCTTGGTGAATCAGGAAGCAAAAGCTCAGACAAGAACCAGAAACTGGCAGCAGTTTCAAGGCCACCCCCAGTGACTACTTTGAACTAGGCTGCTGTATCCCACCCCCCAAACTCCACAAACTCCTCCTAACAGCACCACCCTCTGGAGACCAAGTTGTAGACCGAAGTTTCTGTGCTACCTGGTCCCGAAGCCGTTTGGTCCCCAATAAAGGCTTATATTAATTATAAACTCTTTGACCGATGAGTCAGGCTTCTTATTGGATAGTTCTCTCTTAATTATTAACCGATTTCTATTAATCTAAGTATCTCCAAGTGGTCTTGTATTGCTGGTGATGGCCAGGCATCTTTCTTCCTCAGCAGCTACATGGCATCTCCCCCGAGACTCCTCTCTTCATTCCTCCTCCCAGCTTTCTCCTTGTCTGGTAGCCCTGCCTATACTTCCTGCCTGGCTACATCCTGCCTGTCCATTGACTGAAACAGCTGTATTCATCAACCAATAAAAGAAACACATATTCATAGCATACAGAAGTACATCCCCCATCACCAACACATGACCCTATGGGTAACATTTGAGATTTAAATCTTAACAGTTTTCCAATATTTTTCCTAAGGGACCTGATTATCTTCTGTTGCTGTGATATAAGCACCAGAACTACAAAGCAACTTGGGGAGAAAAGGGGTTATTTCATCTTACAGTTTACAGTCCATTATGGAAGAAAAGTGAAGGCAGGACCTCAAGGCAGAAACCTAGAGACATGAAGCAGAGGCCATGGAGGAGTGCTGCTTACTGGCTTGATCCCATGACTTGCTCAGCTCACTGTCTTCTATAACACAAGACTACCTGCCCCAAGATGGCAACATCCAGAGTGAGTTGGGTCTCTCATATCAATCATTAATCAAGAAAATATTGCACAGATACGCTGAAGACCAATGTGATGAAGACAATTCCTAGTTGACATTCTCTCCCCCCAGGTGGATGCAGTCTGTTCCAAGTTGACAAAAACCAGCCAACACACCATCCAAGGTGATACTTCTAGCAACAGCAAATGGAGCAGTTACTCTTCTCAATTCTCTGACCAACAAAAGCAACGTAAAGGGGTGAAGGATTTATTTTGGCTCCTGGTATGAGGGAATACAGTCCACTGTGGCAGGGAAAGCAGAATGAGTTCCAGGAAAACCAAGGCTACACAGAGAAACTCTGTCTTGAAAAACAAAAATCAACACCAAAAACGCCATAATGATGAAGGCCTGGTCCCCAGCCTGTGGCATATTACGAAACGATGGAAACTTAGGAAGATTGTGTACAAAAGGGAAATGCCAGGAAGGGGAATCTGAATCTTTAAAACCCTCTCTCTCTCTCTCTCTCTCTCTCTCTCTCTCTCTCTCTTTCTCTCTCCTTCTTTCTCTCCCTTTCTCTCTCTCCCTCTTTCTGTCTCTTTCCCTCTCTTTCTCTTTCTCTCTCTTTCTCTCTCTCTCTCTCCCTCTCTCTCCCTCTTTCTGTCTCTCTCTCTCTCCTCTCTCTCCCCCTCTCTGTCTCTCTCCCTCTCTCTCTCTCTCTCTCTCTCTCTCTCTCTCTCTCTCTCTCTCTCTCTCTCTCTCTCTCTCCAGCCCCACCATTACTTATCTCTCCCCTTTATGTCCTGGGAATGGCGACCTACAACAACCTTCTGGGGTTGTCATTTGTCTCTGTCACACTAACACAAACATCATTATATTAACTGAGTGGTTCCACGTGGCTGCCTGCAGCCCAAGCCATTCCTTTCCCCTTTAGTGATTTCCACTGAAGTAAAACCATGTTCCTGCCTATGCCACAGAAAAGAATTTCAGGGTGGTGTAGAGTTGGAGTTCATTAAAAGGTGTTTTTGACTTAGATTTGAAGTACAGGTGCCCAGGGGAACAGCGAGATAGACCCAAGTATGGGTATGGCCTTCTCAAGGGAGAGTCACACCTTGTCTTGGACAGGGCTGCACATCTAATCCCTGGGCTCTCTAATTCCCATCACTGGGAGAAAATCCTTCACAGCAAGTTAAATGTTAAAGCATTTCCTTTTATGGGGGAAGCTGTAAAGTTGATTTATGAGGGTGTGGTCAGGAAGTACCTAGGAGGGGTTACAAGTCCTGTGAGCCCAGGAAAGGCACTGTTTGCTTAGTTTACTCATTATTTTTAATGGTTTTGGCTTGAGAAGTCTTAAGGAAAACGCCCATTGGCTCTGTAGGCAAATTTGGCTTTATCAGTGGTGTGTGGAACTTCTGAGTCTGTCAGCAGGAGAGACGAACCAACCAGATCTCAGGAGGAAGGGTTTCTTTTCCCTCTCCCACCTCCTCAATCTTCTTTCTATCCTGCTGGTTAGGAGTGGCAGTCCTTGTCTAGTCTGGGGAACAGTTTCAGCTTTCTATCGTAGAATGTTGGCTAGGGCATTTTCATGAATAGATTCTGAATTTTATCTAATTTGTTGGATTTTTTTATCGTAAAAATAGGTCGTATCTTAAGAAATGCCTGTTCTATATCTGTTGAGATGGCCAGATGGCTTTTGCCTCTCCCTTGACACACAATGCAATTTTTTCATCAATTTGCAGACACCAAACCATCCTTGTATACTGGGGATGAATCCCACTTGGTCCTGGGTGTGACCTTCTTAACCTACTGTTGCATCTTGTTTGTTACTATGTATCTGAGGACTTTGGAGTCTGTTCATCAGAGAACCAGCATGGGCTTCCCATTTGAGCAGGCGTCTTGTCCTGTTCAATGATGTTCAACAGTTTAGGTTAGACATCAGTGGAAGGAATACAACTATGTGGCCAGAATTCTGAGAAAAAGTGCTGAAGTAATGAGAAATGCCATCTGGTGTCATCACCAGGGTCCTTAGTGTTGATGCAGTCCTAAATCTGGGACATGCTGGGGCCACCAGGATGTATGGGGTGGGAGGCAGCTTCTACCTATTGTGTAGTAAGTGCTCCAGAGCCTGAAAGGTTGACCCAAATGGGTATGGTCCATCACAGGTAATGAGGTCTTTGAAGGGGACTAGATCTCTCTGAACCTTGTTCCCTCCCTGCTGACAGAAGTAGCAGAAATTGATTGGCTCAGGGCTCTGAGGCAGAGTCCAGAGGAGCCCAGATGGTGGGGTCCTTGTGAGGTCTCAGAGAGAGTCTGTCCAGGACTCACTGCCTTCTGTACTCTGCAGGAATCTTGAGCTACTTGAGTAGTAGAATGCCATCCTGTGAACACCTTTCTGGACCCACATTCCCCCTTTGTGTAAAGACATCAAGGTACATAGGTTCAGGGTTCTAATGACCTCATCTTTACTATTCATAGCTGCAATGATTCCTGTCTTGGAGGGAGCACACATCAAACTAAATGAAGAAAAACTCAAAGCAATCCCACTGAAATCAGGGACAAGACAAAGGCTGTCCATTCTCTCCATATCTATTCAATATAGTACTTGAAGTTCTAGTTAGAGCAATAAGACAACAAAAGGAAATCAAGAGGATACAAGTTGGAAAGAAGGAAGTCAAACTTTTGCTATTTGCTGATAATAGGATAGTATACATAAGTGATGACAAAAAAATTATACCAGGAAATGCCTACAGCTGATAAACACCTTCAGTAATGTGGCCAGGTACAGGATTAAATAAAAAAAATCAGTAGCCCTCTTATATACTGATGATAAATGGGTGGAGAAAGAAATCAGAGAAACACCATCCTTTAAAATAGCCACAAACAACATAAAATATCATGGGGTAACACTAATCAAACAAGTGAAAGACCTGTATGCAAAGAACTTTAAGTCTTTGATGAATGAAATTGAAGAGGATATCAGAAAATGGAAAGATCTCCCATGCTCTTGAATAGGTAGGATCAACTTAGTAAAAATGGCAGTCCTACAAAAGCAGTCTCCAGATTCAATGCAATCCCCATCA